GAAATAATTGGTACCTAATTCAGCCACCATCTTGGATATACATTTCGACAGCACTATCGGCTTCAACACCCTCGAAAACCATGAAAATGACACCCATGATGAAAAAATTTATACCTATTGCAGCCGCCACCTTGGATTTACATTTCGACAGCACTATCGGCTTCAGCACCCTCGAAAACCATGAAAATGACACCCATGACATAAAAATTGATACTACTTACTTTTAGTACGTACTACTATTATTTATTCTGTGCTTTTAAAAGATTGTAATAAAAAAAAAACTCTCATTATTATTATAATCAGCGATACTTTTTGAGCCGCTGCAAACAATCGAAACAATGTTCACTCACGACAACGACTGACGCCGAACTGAGTGAGTGAGTAAAATACTCTGTGGCTGTAGCTCGGAGTGCGCCTTCCGCCTATTTAGAAAAATAATTTACATACAAGGCTACCAAATCTACGAAAATTTCGCCATTTTGGAGCTGAAAAAAATTAATTATAGCTAAACAAAACAAAATTACACTGGCATTTACATTCAGTGGCTTCCCATATGATAGATGAAGAGATTAAAAAATAGATTGAGTTAAACAATTGATATTTTCAAAAGTTATCGTGTTCATTCTATTAAGCCGCCACTTTGTGATGTGTTTGTTAGCTGGGATATAATATTCTGCCACGTCACTATCATACAAGTTCTAAAATTGCGTCATAATACTCGTAAAATGGTTTTTCTATTATTTTAGAAAGGGTCAATATTATATAATGTATAATAGTAAAATGTATATTATGATATATCACGAATAAAAATTGGTATTTATTTTTGATGAACCTTGCCTTGGTAATTGAAAAAGTCAGTTTTATCAGTCAGTTCTAGGTACTTCACTCTCGTATATAGGTCTCATATGTATTTGGTGAAAAAATTACACCCCTAAGGGTGTCAAATTTGGAAATGATGTTTCTCATCTAACTATTGTAGAACAATTTAAGATTGTGATATTCAACTCTTTGACTACCCAGAAGACTTTAAAAAAATTATAAAAGAAATTTACTTATGATAAAAGGTAAAAGCCGACAAAGAACTAAAAAATAAAATAATTTCATTTTCTGAAATGAGTGCTAGGACAATAATTAAAGCTCCGACGTTACATTTTTCTATCAGGAGTTAATGTTAATAATTATATTTATCATCAAAAAAAGTAACAGTTAAAATACAAAACAGTTAAAATATAAAAATTGCGTCATTTATTTTAAGTTGGCGTAAGTCTTTTTAATCTGTTCGAAATGTGTACTAGAATAGAAAGTTAACTATGTCATCATATTAATAACAGTTTAGTGATAGAGATAATCAATGCCCTATATTCAAGGGGCTTATCAGATCAATAATGCATTCAATCTCTTACAGCATATGGCACGTTCTTTATTACGAAATAAAAAAAAAACATCCTAATTTCAATAGAGAGGGAGGCTGGGTACTACCACCTGCTTGGGATCCTCTAATTAAGAAAATTTAAACTAAACCCAAGCATACCACAGCAAGACTTCAAGACACAGCAAGTTCATTCTGCGTAGATCGGACCAAAATTAATAATTAAAAAAGCTGAAGGTACTCCGAGTTAACTCGGACATCGGGACTTCAATCACCTCAGTCCCCCATAACCATGAGTGCTATAAAGCACCCGAAACGTCGGAATCAATAAAAATAAGTTAATTAAACGCGATAGAATCGGTAAACGTAGTTTTATTTAATGTGTATTGTTCGCGTAAATATAAGAAATCATTATTAATTACTTACTCTGATATACAATTGTATATTTATATTCAAATATGACACTACGCCACATGTATGTGATCAAAATAATTTGAATTGGACTATGTTGAATTGCATTGCAATGGTACTCTCTAAGGAATTTTATTAGGTCAATCGAAACTATAGGAAGCATTTGAAATAGTTACATCTCATGTTCGTATTTTATTTAACTGTGGATTATTATCCAAAATATATACTGACTAACTTTCCTTTGTTTAATTTAGTACAGTCATCAATTTTATATTGATCGAGTTTTATAATTTATGTGCACATGACGCCTCACATCAGGTACTTTCCGGGAAAGGACAATTCTTCGTAAAGCAATATATACAAAAATACAACTTGACTTTGACTTTGATTTTGGTTATAGTCTATGGCTCTGTGACCGCGTAAGTTTTGGCTACAAAATCAGTGTTCTCTATGTACGAGACTTCTTCTCAAACTTCACTCAACTCAAGTTATATCGACGCTGCGGCCCTGCCCATGTTAATCTAGGGTAACCCTCCACTAGACAATATTACGTAAGATATGTAAGGTATGTAGGAAGTCGATGGATGCAGGTTTTTTTTATAGAATAAGAGTGACATACGAGCACACAGTCACCTGATGGTAAGTGGATGCTGTGGCCCATAGATATCTACACCTATCTTCCTTTGCGAATTAAAATGCAGATGCGTTGTCAGCCGTGAGAACTAAGATAGAATGCCTTTTTTCCAGTAAAATGGGTCTACGATTCTCTACACTCACCATGCGAAAAACAGCAGCATCAAGCTGCTATTTAACGCAGATATACTGTGAGAGCTTGGTCCCTCCCCGGTCGAGCCGACCCATTCGTGCTACAACTATACTATTAATATAGCTGCAGCATGGCTCTACCAGGTGGCTTAGGATTGTGATTTGTTACATAATTTAGGGGAAACCCATATTTACACGTAGACTTGTAAAAGGCTATTTAAATGTAATAGACGGATGGATATATGAAAATAATGAAAATCAATATTTAAAAGCAACAATAGCCTAATGAGATGGCGCGGATCGCGAACTCGAAGGGTCTTGGATTCTTTTTTTTTAAAGGATAAGGGTTACAAACGAGCACACAGTCCACCTGATGGTAAGTGGTTGCTGCAGCCCATAGACATCTACATCTATCATCTATTACAAAATGCAGATGCGTTGTCACTCGTGAAGACTAAGATGGAATGCCTCATTTCCAGTAAAAAGGGTCTCCGGTTCTCTACACTCACCATACGAAACATAACAGCGTTAAGCTGCTATTTTACGCTGGTATTCTGTGACAGCGTGGTCCTTCCCCGGTCGAGCCGACCCATTCGTGCTAGAATTATCTAACTATTAATATAGCTGCAGCATGGCTCTACCACGTTGAAATTATTCGCCATTCGACTACTGTCGAGAACTATATTCCTATCACAAGTATTTCAAGCTTATCAGGAGAAATTAAAGGGAATATAATTATGTTAATAACATTACTGGTACTAAAATAATCCAAGTGTTATAAATTTGATGCAAATTTTAACTTGGTTGTGTAAAGCATATTGTAGCACTGATTGCGAAATTAATTATTGTTTCAGGTTGAACAGCAAACTCGAATCTATGTTACATTTTAGAACAAGATAATTTCAAGAACAAGATATTGGGTGCTCAGTAAACAAGCGTCAAAATGGTTATTATCGTCGGTAGGTGAATTATAATTGAATTTATACGCACATTTTAGCATTGTTTCGCAAATAAGTAATTTTATTACTCTAGTTACTATCAAAAGCGCCGCTAAGTACTGATTATGTTAATTACCCTGGCTGATTTAGATCATACCGATAATCTCCAAGTTCAGTTACAATCAGTTTCGCAAGGAAATAATAATGCTACATACATACGCACTAACATAGAGGCACTCCCTTATTCTAACCTAACGGCGCTTATTAGAAAGATCAGAGATACGATAGGATGCGGTTGCAAAGACACAGATTTCAGTACATACGAGTACGTCAATTATTCCCTTGCTGATATTTGAAGCCGGAATCTATGATATGGTTAGACCACTAGGCCACGTGGTCGCGGTTTTTGGTAACTTTTTAAACGTACTGAGTTCACTCAAGCTTCCGTACAAGAGAGACATATTAATTATTAATCGTATTTAGTATATTTACCTTCACATAAAATTGCAGTAAAGTCAAATCTAATATGCTGAGAATTGAACTCGAGCGAATATGTCAAAATTATGCAATAGAAACTAAACGTGTTTAAGAAGAATTATTAGAACAAGCTGCATTTTATTTAAGTAAAAGCCTGTCCCATAGATTGCCTCATACAGGGATAATTATTACAGGCGTCACGCTTGGCAAGCGGGTTGGCAACCGCAGTTTTTTTATTTTTCCTCATTATTAAGAAGACAATGCTGCTCATCTCCTGATTTGTTTCCCTCTGTAGCATCTTACTATATCAATGGGATGTTATGGGGTAGTTGATATTCTTACACGTCACTACACGGTACTCATATTCGATAATTATTCGAATTTTTACATAACCATGATGACGCAAAAGATTCAAATGCGATGAAAACATAACGCTTATCAATAAACAAATGACTATTTATGAAAAAATAATTCCATGTTTTTAAAATAAAATTAATTTGAAAATAAAATTCTTAGGCAAAAAAACAATTATGATTTGAAATTATTTAAATTAAAAGTCTAGGGCTAATAAGATTTAAATCTCCATGTTTTGGTGCAAAATATTAAATGTTTAAATGCGAATTACGAAACTATATTGATTCGCATTTCAAATTCGTCTTTATAACTTTTTAAATTATACATGACATAAATTGAAAGTATTTTACTTTTATAACGTAAACGGTTGAAAGGCTGTACCTTGCGTCCATCACAGTTAATTCAGCTTTGTATTTTCAGAACCTTTTTGGATATATTGATTTACAACGTAGAACCTGTTTTGCAACGGGTGTGTATAGAGGAATTTTGCCCCCATTTTATAAATGACTGACACACCATTACGGAATGTGTTGTAAAGGAATCTTGTAGAGCTTTTCATTATTTTTAATTTATTATCTTACTTATATCTATTTTTAAAAATTATTATATTAAAAATATTTCAAAAAATGCTAAAAAAATGTAGCTATTACTTACGAATTTTAAAAACATTTATTTCAATTAATCGTATGGCAGGTCGAATATGTCTTCGCACCGGTGCCTTGGTGCTTGCCGTGGCAAGCGAGGCATCGGCGAGAGTTGCAGGCAAAATGGGTGGATATTCCAACAAGATGGGAGGTAACATTAACTTTTTATATTAGATATAAATAATAATATGAAGAAAAGCTAAAAACTAAAAATCTACACTTGGGTAGGAATTTTCATTGCTTCATAACTAAATAGTCTCTTGATAGACTTTTATATTTGCATTCATAGATTACTAACTGTCTGCCTATAACATATGGATCTTGGAGTCAATAGGATACTTTTTTTTAAATTTTTATTCTCAATTAACGCCATTTGAAATAAGTAATTTTGTTTCCAGGAAAATCTACAAGCGGAATAAACGAAGAAATAATTTGGATCAGCATAAGCATGGCGATCGCTATAGCAGTTTTGATAGCAATAGCTCTATGTTATATCTTGAAGGAAAAATGCTCGAAACGTCAGGCGTACAGAGAACAGTCATGACGATATAAGGAAGAGTTTGCTAGGCACGCCCTCGCGGACTCTCTTTCCGAGTTTGAATTTCCAGCTTATACTTTATATCCACAATATTCCCCAGATGGAACAGAATACTATTATAACTTTCATCGTTTTTCGTACCTTAGAGACGGTTTTAAATTACCCCCGAAGGACTATCCTATAAATTCTAAACATGCAAGTGATGAAATTTATATTAATGCGTGATAAGGGTCAGATGTTTGACGTCTCGCGTGGGTGAAAGCTGTTCATTGAAACGAATTTACACGACGTGTCGTGTCGTACCGTACCAATACTAATGAATTATGATGTTTATATTGTAATATACATGAGTAACTATAATTATGGAAAATGTATATAATATAAATAAAGACAGTAATGTGATATAGCTTGATTGAAGCCATTTATCGTGAGATGGCGGCTTAATGGAATTCATCACCCAATTTCGTCCCGTTGTTTTTCTTTAGCGGAGACAATTGAATATTCCAAAAACATCTTATGTGTTTTGATAGATCGCGAAATAATCACCTCGTTTCCGCCAAATATCCAGACCGGTGATGGAAAGTAAAGTCAAAGATAAAACGTGATTTTTTTAAATTTAAAAAAAAAATTACCACATTTCTAATCATATTATTGCATAGTTTAAATTCAATATATATATATATATATATATATATATATATATATATATCCCCATATATCGCAGTATATATATATATATATATATATATATATATATATATATACTGCGATAGTCAATTCACCTGCCAAGCGTGAAGATGAAAGCAAAATGGGTTTCTTTAAAAATTACTTACGAAGTTGGAGACCGCGGTATTCCGCGATAATTAATTATAATTGTAAAATATTATCATACTAAAGTAAAACTCCGGCTACAAACAACGACTTGCATGCGCAAACAATTTTTGCAAAAAAAATTGCACTAACAACATGGTGCACTACACAACGTCCACACGATAGCGTTTTTCATGCGCAAACAGTATGTGAAAAGTTTTCGCTAAGAACATGTTGTGTGGCGTCCACACGCCGCGCCGACTTAACGTATATGCTTGCTTGTGCAACTAAGTTTGAGAAAATTAAGCGTTTGTGCAAATCATGTACACGATGTATGGTGTTTTTCCGGCTTTACGTACATGCTTGCTTGCGTAAATTAGATTTTGTGCAAGTAAGATTGAGCGTGTAGCCGGTACGTAATGGAATGAAGTCCCAGTTGAAATGTGGAACTGTGATAGTTATACATGTAACGCATATGACAAGTAACGCTTGTAACGCATTATAAACATATTAATTTTCCTCTTTAGTAGACCAATGAATTACTTTTATCGTTCAATAAACGAAAAAAAATTGTAATAATTTATATTTATTAAACACACATTAAATTCACAACATTTTTGAATTTCAAATTGGATGATTTCAATTTTCATTTATCATTACCGTATATGGTATGATAATATAATATAATAAGAGTTTTCTGCATATCTAAAGCAATTTTAAGATGTTTTTAAAATTAGAATCCTCAAAGTAACATCTGATTCAAAATTATCAGTTTATCATTAGTTAATATTGATTACATTTTATACTATGCCAGCTATGCTAAAGCTAATGTGAATATCAGTCAAATCATGAATTACTTACACATTTTATCATTAATAATTTAGTTTAATTACTTACTTTAAGTACTTTTAATTATTTTTTTTTTAATAGAATAGGTTGACAAAGGAGCACACAGTCCACCTGATGGTAAGTGGATGCTGCGGCCCATAGACATCTACATCTATCCTCGTTTGCGAATCAAAATGCAGATGCGTTGGCACCCGTGAGGACTATGATGGAATGCCTCTTTTCCAGTAAAAAGGGTCTCCGGTTCTCTACACTCACCATACGAAACAGCAGTGTTTAGCTGCTATTTTAATAAGAGGTACCGGTAGAATTACAGCGCTGTGGGCGTGGCAACACTGCTTTTCATGCCGAGTTGGATGCCTTTTCATTGCTGCAGTTCAATGTATTTGTGTATATTGTCATTATTTTTTTGTTTGCTTTTTAGTTGTAATTTCTTTATATTATGCATTGTGTTGTGTGTGACGAATAAACCGTTCATTCAATCATTTAAATAGAGAACAGAAATTCTTAATAGATTTTTAGAAAAAAGAAAAAATAGAAAAAAGAATTTTCACTAAAATTTTAATTTGGTTTTTGGATAGAATTTAGTTTACTAAGGGCTAAGTTTTAATCATCAGATTAAAGGTATTCGTATAACAAAATACTACAGCGAATTAAGAATTACAGTTGTATGAATAAATAGTTCAATTGTTTCACTTTTATATTCAGTCCGGTTATAATTTACTTAACGGATTACTTTTATTTGGCGATTGAAAAATAAACGAATGAAGTGAAGCATATTATTCAAATGAAGAATTAACATATGTTAAGATATTAAATAAATCATTTACGGATTTTATCGCATTTAATTAATTAATTTTTATATTCCCGACGTTTTGAATAATTTGCTGCAGCAATAAGCAATATAATATAATAGTATATAAATGTAATATAATAGTATTCAACGTACGAATGTCATAGTTAAATATGTACCCGTATATCCCTTAATAATAAGTATTGCAAAGTACCCAAAACGTCGGGAATATAATAATAAGCTAATTAAGCGCGATAAATTCCAAAAAATCTAGTTTCATTCCGTGAATAGTGTTCTCGTAATTATAAGCTATCATTATGATGTACCCACACATCAATTGAGAAAAAAATACTAAAGTAATTATATATAAAAGAATGTAATATGTATAATATATATGTGCTTAAAGTCGACATTTTAACAATATAATATTTATTTAAATATTATGTGTAATTTTTATGTCAATTTATGATGTTATATTTATGTTGACAAATATGTATATAACTAAAGAAAACTGTTCAACGGAATAAAAATGGAACAATATAACTTTAAGTAATGAATTATAAAATTTATATTTATCACGAAAAAGTATATTATGATTGTAAAATTAATTGTGAATTAATTTTTTGAAATAAATGTTAGATGAAGATTTATTAATATTCCTTGATTGACATTGTTTCATAGAGATATTTTATATTTCTTATTTTGGAGTAACAACCGCATGGTCACTATAAAACAATTGCCTATTAGAGTCCAACACAGGCCTTCCCCCATAAATGAACTCATAGGAGGGGTATATACCATAGTTGCCACGATTTACAAGTGCGGAGGCAACCGCAGTTTCTTTAAATTCATCTGTTATAAAAAAGAAGCTGCTGCCTACCTCCTGGTTTAGTTTCGCCTTGTAGGCTCTTACGGCACCCACGGGATGATATGGGGTAGTGGATATACTTAAACCGTCACTGCACCATAAACTACATTGCATAATAATAATCTATATTGAATTCTGTTAAAACTCTTTTCGATATTAGTGTTTCATGGTCACGCTTCACATACGTATTGCGATCGCCGTACCAGACGCCACACGAGACAGAACCTTTGGCGCTGCTCTCCCTCGCCGGTCTTATTATTTAAGTCTAGCCTAAAGCCACAAGATCTTTCTAATATTTTCTATAGTCGCTTCTTACGACACTCAAGGGACGAAATGGGGTGTCGGATTCTGTTACACCGTCACCAGCTAATATTAACTCTAATGTTATCTATACAAAAAAAAAAAAGGCAAACTTTAGACGTATAAATAAGAGAGTAAAAGAAGTTGTTGAAAGGAAAAAGCAAGAAAGGATAGATAAAAATGATAGAAGGATATCTGATAACTTCCAGGAAAATATTAAAATGTTCTGGAAGCTCGTAAGAACTGCCAGGGGAAATTCAAAACAGCCTAGAATGAATGCTATACGAGACGAGAATGGCTGCATGCTGAATGATGAAGTTTCGAATTTAAAGAGATGGAAGGAATACTTTGAAAGCGTGTTTAAGAGTGAAGAGTCGTCTGAAATAAGTGAAATAGAAATTCCGGAAGAAGTGGAGAGAGGTAGGGAGATAAGTGTAGATGAAATAATGAAAGCAATGAAAAGCATGAAAGCAGGTAAGGCAGCCGGATATGATAGAGTATCACTCGAAATGCTAAGGGCTGGTGAGGGTGTGGTTGCAGGCCTGCTGCACACCTTGTTTAGTTTACGTTGGGAACTGAAACGGGTACCGGAAGACTGGTGCAAAGCCGTTATAGTCCCAATATATAAGGGAAAGGGGTCGCAGCAGGACTGTAAAAACTACCGTGGTATCAGCTTGCTTAGCATTGTGGGTAAACTGTATGCTAAGGTGTTAATTGAAAGAGTTATGGAAGAAACTGAAGGAAAAATTTGGGATGTGCAAGCTGGATTTAGAAAGGGGATGGGGTGTACGGATCAAGTCTTTTCCATGCGCATGATAGCGGAGAAATTTTTGGCTAAAAACCAGAAAGTTTTTTGTGCGTTCTTAGACTTGGAAAAGGCTTATGACAGAGTGGACAGGAACGTGTTATGGCAAACACTGAACTCATTTGGGTTGAGCGCTGGCTTGATACAGGCATTAAGGTCTCTTTATAGGGACTCTAGTGCTTGTGTCAGGATCAACGGGGTCTACTCGGACTGGTTTGGCATTCATAAAGGTGTCAGACAGGGATGTGTGGCTTCCCCGTGGCTGTTTAACCTATTTATGGACAGTTGTTTGCAAACTTTGAAAGTTGAAGAATGTGGGTTGAGAATGGGTGAGTCAACCGTCAAATGCCTTTTGTACGCCGATGATCAAGTCATATTTGCATCGTCGGCGGCCGAGTTGCAAATGATGGTTACTTTAATGAATTGTTCATTGAAAGAAAGGGGTATGAAAGTGAACGCAAGTAAGACGAAAGTGATGGTTTTTGAAAGAGAAGAAAGTAAAACTTTATGTAAAATAAGAATAGAAGGGGAGTTGATTGAGCAAGTGGATGAGTTTGTATATTTGGGATGTTTATTTAGCAGGG